ATGTGAAAGACTGCATGGGCAAACAGTGCAACAATTCAAGAATAATGTTTCTCAATATAAAACAGCAAAGAACTTGGGGATTTCTTCATTTACAGTACATAATACCATTAAAAGATTCAGAGAATCCAGAGAAATCTATGTGCAAGGGAAAAGGCCACAAAACAATACTGGCTGGCTGTGATCTTTGGGCCTTCAGGCAGTACTGCATTAAAAACATGATCTGATTCTCTAGTGGACACACCACATGAGCTCAGGAGCACTTCCAAAAACCTCTGTGAACACAGTTCATTGTTGCATCCACAACTGCAAGTTAAACCTCTACCAGTCAAAGAGGAAACCATATATAAACAGGATCCAGAAACGCTGCTGCCTTCTAAGGCGAAGTGGAAAAGTGTCCTGTGGTCCAGCGTATAAAAATGTTAAATTCTTTTTGTAAATCATGAGCACCACATCCTCCGGACTAAAGAGAAGAGGGACCACCATCTGGTTTGTCATCAGTGCACAGTTCAAAAGCCAGCATCTGTGATGGTATGTGGTAGTGCACATGGCATGGGTGACTTGCACATCTGTGAAGCCACCATTAATGCTGAATGATATATACATGTTTTGGAACAACATATGCTGCCATCCAGACAATGTCTATTTTAGGGAAGGCCTTGCTTATTTCTTCAATACAATGACAAACTATATTCTGCATGTATTACAACAGCATGGCTTGTTAGTAAAAGTCTGGGTGCTAAATCGGCCTGCCTGCAGTCCAGACTGTCACCACTGAAAACATCTGTTACACGATTAAGGCCTCGAACCGCTGAGCAGCTGAAATCCTGTATTAAGCAATAATGAACAAACATTTCACTTTCAAAACTACAGCCATTGGTCTCCTCTGTTCCCAAACGCTTACAGGGTGTTATTGAAATAAGAGGTGATGCAACACAGTGGTAAACATGTCTCCGTCCCAACTTTTTTGAAATGCGTTGCTGGCATCAAATTCAAAATGGTCACATATTTTTGAAAAAAAAAAAAACTGATATGTTGTCTTTGTGCTATTGTAATAAATATGGGGTTATTTACATTTTGCACAGTGTCTCAACATTTTGGAAACGTTGTAGCCATAACCTGAATTCATCTGAGCTGAAAAACTCATTTGTTATTTGTATCTTTTTGAGCAGAGGATTTTCAGAGAGTTCACAATAAAACATTTCTGCTTACTTCCTAAATAAATAAATAAATAAATAAATAGTGAGTGTTCAGTTAGCATTTAACTAGCTTTTATTATTTTTCTTTAACTTATGAGCATGTTACTTTAGTATGACATGTTATTTTCTCCACGTACATATCATTTGGGTGAAGTGTGCATTTTTAAAATAGAATGCATTTTCTCCATTGTTGTACAGCTTAAGAATTCCACAGTGTGAGATGACTTCTCACCACCAACTGCAAAGGCTGCAATTTATTTCATGTTTACTGCCAAACACGGACAAATAATTGAGGGAGATAATCCTTCTTCTACCTCTCTCTTTCTCTCTAATTCTCTCCCTCTCCCTCCCTCTCTTTCTCCCTCTCTCTCTCTCTCTATCTCTCTCACTCTCGCTCTCTCTCTCTCTCTTTCCTTCATTTCTCTGCCCTCTCTCTCTCTCTCTCTCTCTTTCGCTCTCTCTTTCTCTTTCGCTCTCTCTCTTTCTTTCGTTTATCTCTCTGCAGTGACCTTCCTGGCTTGATATTCTGAAATACTACATCCACATATTGCGTTTCTGAGCTCTAAGCTCCCAGTAAATCTCAGCACAAATGACAAAGTCAAACACAGAGGGCTGCTGGAAACTCGACATCCACACTTTCAGAGGGCTTTAAGACAGAAGAGCTTTTGCCACTGGAGCCAAAATACAAAACACCACTGCTACTTTCCCAGCAATTAAATCTCTGACCTCCATTCATTTCAATGACAATTCTTTAGGAAATGATTCAGTTCATCATCAAATCTCAAATTTCAGCAGGATTACTTTGTTAAGATTCTGAATTATTACTAAAAATACACCGAATACAAACATATAACACAAAGAACAATTTACACAGTATTGCAATACAGAATTAAAGAGGCTGCTTTTAGTACTTTGCCTTTGAGACTGACATATGTAAATGAGCTCTGTTCTAACTGGCTGCCCTGTATTGTGCTCCATTCCAAAAGCAGGTCATTCTGAAGCATGTCTGTGTGAACAGGCAGAACAAAACTACTACTGTAGGCCGAATAGGTGGATATAAGTTAATACTATGGTTTTCGTGAAATGACAAAAACAATTAATATGTTCATTCATTCATTTATTCATTTTTGCTGCTCATGTTCCAAAATTAGTATTTTATGGACTAGAGAGTGAACAGTACCTTTTGAAACGTTAACAGTGTTTACATACTATATATGACTGCTTGGTTTTCATGATATGGGCCCCTTAAAGCAAAAAGAACAAGAGTGTGTTCTTAAACCTGGCATGAGTGCTCTTTTACTTTTTATATAAGGAAGACAAGTCCTGTACATTGTTTCAAATATTTGTTTTAATATTGCCATTTTCTTCCACCAAAAGTAGTTCCAGCAGCTTGGTAAGATGTTCAGTGATGTTACTTAGCAACCAAGTAGATGTAAAAAAAGCATAACATCATGTGTAGTCTGAACTAACTGTTAACAAAATGGTTTTTGGTGGAATATGTGTCACAATATTGTGATTACTACACTCTGGTTTGTGTCTAACAACACCCATTAACTGTGGTAGAATTAGACATGGTCTTACTTCTTTTTTATTATAACTGAAAATATGCAGTTGAACAGGCACCTTCATTTGCATTGCTACACCCATACTAGCCATATAAAATGTTACAGTTCTTGCTGGACTAGCATAAGACTCCCATGTGTAAAGTAAAACTCTACATGGCACCCTGAAAAGCAATTCAATCTTATTCCCAACATTTATCCACTGCTTTGGTCCAGGCAGGGCAATCAGCCTCCGCTCAGTGAAGCTCTGTTAATGGCCTGTTTGCCAGCCTGATAGCTAACACATGAAATTATGAAATGAATTTCACAACCCTAGGTTATTTCCCTTCATTTGAAATAAGGTGCCACACCGTATTACTCAAGCCCTAAATCAACACAGAGGCTGCAGCGAGGTTAAATGTGAGTGTAAAAGTTTTTAGGCTATGCTGCTCCGCTAGACTGAATTGCAGTGCTTCCCATGGAGCTAATAAGACTTTAGAGAGTCAGCGAAGCAATACAGTGATTATCACACAAAGGCTGAATTAGTCATCGTGTGATCTCCCTCCTCTCTACCTAACTCCATTTAGTTGCACAGCAGAAAATAAGGTGTGTGTCTGTTCCTGGCAGAATAAAGCGAAATGAGTCTGTAAGTTATAGAACCAGATATAAAACTTCTCACAGAAAGCCTTATTTTTATTTTTTATCATACGAACCATTATGTGAACCACATATGAAGAACAGTAACTATAAAATGGGTTAAAGAAACACAGCAATAGCAAACATTACAGATACTGTAAAGAAACCTTTATAGTGGTATTCCTGCTGAAACTTGTGTGGTACAGTAGTGTTATCCACAGTGCAATGCATTTCACTGAATGACCCATTTGTGAAACAGTCTTTGAAACCCATTCACTAGTGGCTACACATGCCAAAGCACTGGCTGTAAATATCAGCCGTAACGTCAATGTCACACTGATAACAATAACTCTATTTTCCAATAATATATCAGCTACTGGTACATAATGACGCTCTATTTTCCACATTTTAGAATAAAAGACATCAAAGACTTGCAATAACACATATGGACTTTTGCAATGCTCTGACCAAAAATGTAACAAATCCAAATTATCTTCAGCTTTACACACACTTGGTATTCTCTGAAGTAGCTCTAGGAGTCTGGGGTGCTTTTCCAACAGTCTTGAAGAAGTTCCAAATACCCTACTTACGTGTGAATTTATAATGTGTTTATATTTATTTATAATATTTTATTTTACATAGCCATCAACAACAGAATTTGTGTATGTTTTAGAAACAACTTTTAAGTACTTAACTCCATGAATTGTAGGGTTATTATTTAGCTATTAATATTTTCTTTTTTTAGATTTAGATTCTGTTCAAGATTTTTTATAGTAACTAACTCTGGAAAAGTTAGAGACCACTCTTCATTTATTTAATTTCCATTCAAAAAGCAAATAAGTATGAGTTTTCCATTTTTCAGGACATATTTCTGAGCAGCTCTGATATGACGTTCCATTTGCATAAAGAAGGGAAAAGTCTGAAGAAAATAAGAGAAACAGGAGTTTCCAAAACTGGAGTTAAAAAAAAAGATATTAACATATACAGAGAAAATGGAACTCCTAACAAAGACCTGCTAGACCACCAAAACTGTCACCGTCAGATAGACAGTACTTTAAGCTTTCATCTTTGAGAGAGAGAGGAGAAAATCAAGCTCCCTGCTTTTTTGAGACCTCAAAAAATTTACAGGTGTTTTTGTCTACCCTTCCACTGTGAGAAGACAATTCAACACTATGAGTCTGAAAGAATGTGTAGCTGTCAAGAACGTCTGAGACTGAACTTTAGAGATGTGACAAAAACATCCCTGCAGATTTCCTGCTGCTGAAAAATGAATAACTTGTAGAAATTCAATAAATGAAGGGGTAATCGCTGACTTTTGCACAGTATTGTATGTTAGTGTTTAGTTTTGAGAAGAACTAAATTAAAGCGTAGGCCCATTTCAAGCCCTCAGGTTTTAAAGTGTTAAGCAAGAGTGATTATGAAAATGTCTGAGATTATGAAAAACATACATTTAATCAGGCTTGTCCCAACTTTTGACTGGTACTGTACTTTCGCTATACATAGAGGTTTCATTTTTTGATTACAGTCTATTGGTAGTTTGATACTCTTCATATTAACGCAGTATATTTTCAAAGACCAGAGTGGACAAGATCATTTGTATGAGTGTACTGAAAGGTAGTGTTCATACCTCGTGAGCGCTCTAAGTGTCCCAGCGTCTCAATCTGCTCCACCAGATCATTGGAGTTCCACTGACTCATTCCCAACAGTATGGCCGTCTTCCCCTCCATCACATCTGCCAACCGAGACACAAACACACTCAAATCACCTCTTAAGCACTACTTAAAACACTGACCAGGTCTGCACACACTGCAAGAACCAATTAGCTTAGTTTACTTCAATGGTTATTACAAAACAATTTCCTTGGCTCACTGCTGTTGCCCTAACTTGTTTATGTTTGCTATTATTAGGTAATGCTGCTAATTAAATCCTTAATGACTTCTTAAATGAGTCATTTTCCATAAGCCATTTAGGTTCATTTACTAAGTGCCACAGTGCAAGAGTAGTCTTGTACCATGTGCACATCCACACACACTTGTTCGTACATAATGTCTGTATGTGGGGTCATATCTATGTTTCACAGTCTAGCCTTACAGTGATGTAACTTTGCAACTTTGTACTGATGCAGTGTAATGCATTGCATTTTAAAATATTCTTGTAATTGCCTTACAGTTACTGACTTAATAAGAATTACATGCGTACCAACGGAACATTAATAGAACAATATTGATTATGTGCAATGCATTGACCTCTTTCTGCTGGCCTCCTTGTTGCCATTCCGCCGTCAGAATCGAAATCGACATCTGATTTTTTTATTAATAAAATAGCATCATTTAATATAAAATTACAATTTAAAATTCAAGGCTGAACCGAGGGACCTCCACAATAGGCTAAAATTGCTTTCCTGTGAAAAGGAATTAAAATAGTGGCTTCAGCATTAAATTATTCAGGGCACAGTTCTTTTTTAATGCCGCTGAATGACGCAATTTCACAGTTGAACCCTTCAGGCAATCCATAGTTCCAGCCTAAAGCCCAGCTATTCACATGCTGTTGCTATGACTCTGCTACTGTGTAGACCTCTCCCTCAAAGACAGCTTTTACATGGCAGCTTCCATTGATGGCTATCTTGATAAAAGATATCTCCAGCTACTGCCATGTCATGAATTTGTTTATCACCGAAGAATGTCAAGTCCACTTACAAGTGGCAATAGCAGTAGTATCAGTAATGTTAGCATCAGATAAGTTATCACAGATAAGTTGGTATTTTTTTTATTAATAATTTATTTATTTTATTAATAATTTATTATTAATAAAATAGGTATTCTGGAATAAAGCAATACTTTGCACTTGACGTACTTCAATGATAAACAAATTCACAACATGGCAGCCACTGTTCCTCTCACTGGATATCAGTGACAAAAACAGGAAACTGCATTCACCTTATTTTCACGTTCACCCTGCATTCAGAGGATCTTATGTTCAAGTTCAAATTGAATTACTTAAAGTAATAAATACATAATCACATCTGATAAAGCTCATTTTGTCTATTTATATAGCTACCATACTTTGTAATTTAAAAAGCCCTTTGCTTATGGTCAACTTATGATACATGCTTAAACAAATAAGCTGCTTAAGCAAATATGATACATGCAATTAATTGGGATTCATTATTTTAATAATTTGACAGCCTGACTTTAAAACATAAATGTCCAATATCTAAATCATACAGGCCTGTCATTGTACATAATTGAAAACATACAAAAACAAACATACTGTTACAGGCTAGATGTGAAAAGCAGGCTAAATCTGAGAAACATTCAAAGAATCCTCAGCGAAATCTTAATGGGCATCTTGGGCTGGTTTTGTGTGCACATTTCTAGGCCATGTCTTCTGAATGACCCTTAAGAGTAAAGGAGAGTAAGTGAGAGCCCAGTGCTCTGGGGAAATATTTCAGACAAACATGGCTGGAAGTTGAGAAAAGTAAACCAAGGAGAGGCAAAAAGAACTGCAGCAGCAGGGCAGTGCCAAAAATAGCTCTCTAGGACACAACAGGGAAAGAAAGAAGAGAGCAAAGAGAAAGAGCAGAAAGAAACTGATGAAGATAGATGGCTCTTTGCCCGCTCCGGACTTCACCTCCAGCTGTGAACTAACTAGGCGCTTCTGAGAGAATGAAATCTGTTATGTCAAATGGACTTCCAGATACCCATTCCATTATCATTCCATTTGCTCATTAAACACTAGCCAGAGGCTGAGGGGTCATTCCACAACTGCAAGACTTGAAATAAAAACATGTCCTGCCACACCATTTCCCATGGATGAACTTCCTTCAGATTTGCTCTTCTGGCTCTGTTGAAAGTGTTGGGACAAGGCTTTAGAGATGATTTTTGCAGAATATAATAGTGCAACTAATAAAAAACAAATAGTACTTTAAACCCTTAAACTTAAGCGCCAAAGCTGTAGCTCATTTTGTAGTCAGCAATTTGAGGTATCAGGAATTTGAGGTTTAAGCTGTTTTTGTCTATGGAAAAAATGAATGGCATTCTTCCTTTCGTACCATGTGGTAAAAAAAAAAATGTTCTAAAAGCAATCCATTTTGTCCTGTGTACATTCTTCCCACGAATGACATCGGGTCCTCTAAATTATGGGGTCATAAAGTAACAGAAAATACAAATATTGCTACATGCATACTTCAAGTGAGCCTACACTACCACACTACAGTAAATCGGACAAAATGTACAGGCTTTAGAATTCATAGTATTAACAGTTCAACACTTATTCTATACTGCAATGTGGCTATACTACAGGGGGTCTTTGCAGCAGGGAAAGGTGCAAAGACCCCTTCTAGACCTTGGGTCAGCACAAGCCAAGAGTTCCATTAAAATACAAATTGGATATACTGTAATGTTCATTTTAAATAATCTATTAATAATAACCTAAATATTTACACAATATTTAAGAAAAATAGCTCTTATTTGTGACTGTAGTGATCAGGTTCAGTAATTTGAATGCAAAATTACTTAAGTAAAAAGTCTTTAGAAATACGTTAACCCCTTAAATGGCCAGGGCCTGCTGGTGGGCCCAAAGTTTTATTTCACACTTCTATAACCTAAGACTAGCTCAGCCAGTTTGCACTGAAGTCCCTGAAGTTACTTAATAATAAGCCATAGTATTTAATAAGCCTGAGATTTTAAGGGGTTAAATAATCTTATGATATTCTTACAATAATCACAAAATGAGAATATTAGATATATTTCATAAATTTCACTTGCCATGATGTCACTTGCATCACATGATGTTTCACCACTCAGGAGCCCAGAGCCCCAACTTATTTAAACAATTCCATCCATGGGGCTCCCGAGCGGCGCAACCGTCTAAGCGTTGACCCTATCATCAGGAGATCGCGAGGTCGATCCCTGGTGATGCTACAGCCATCCGTGGCCGGGAGTCCAAGACAGCACAACAGGCTTTGCTGTCTGGGTGAGAAGGATGGCCCCCTCTCTCTGTCCATCACTCAACGCGATGCTAGTCAGCCCAGGCGTCTATTAACTGACGTAACAGATCTGGCGGTTGGCGCTTTCCTCTGAGCGCGTTTGGCCGTCCAATGACGTTGCTGTTAGCGGCAGGTCTTGGAGGAAGCCTGTGTCAGCCTTCACCCTCTTAGCGCTGGTAGTATCATGTGACTGGGGGAGTCCTAACTAGTGGGTGGAATTGGAAATGAGAAAATTGAGAGCCTACAAGTCATCTGGCTTTGCTGGAGGATTTGCTGCTTCCAGGAGCATTCATCTGACTGCATGCAGATGGCTTCTGTTAACACCAAGCCAGGGGTGATTGAAGTTACTGTAATAGTCTGTAACATTGCTCATTTTTCTGTATATTGCATCTGTATGTGTGCGTCTGCTGTGTTTTGTTTGAAAAAAATGGACAGATCAGTAGGACAGAGGAAGAGAGAGAGACAGACAGAATATAGAAAACAATGAATGCGAGTATACGAATGTTTACAACAAAATTACCCTAAAACAGCTCTCCAGATAGTTACTGGTTTCAGAAATTCTGAGAACTGTGCGCTAGATGTCAAGTACGTTCTGTCACACTGGAGGTGACAAGCACCTCAGGACCATTTTGGCAGCACTCAGCCTGGATATTTGTAATTTGAAAGAAAGAAATTGACAGACAACAATGGCAAATGATGGAAAGGGACAGAGAAGCAGCAGAAATGAGAGACTGTGACATCAAAGGGGGGAAAAAGGAGAACAAAACAAACCAAAAATAATTCTCCCTGCAGACACAAACAGAGGCAGCATACTAATGTAACAATATAAAACATGCTGACAGAATATGACCATACCATTAGAAATACAGCTTCACTTCCGGAGACTGATCATCAGAGAGTCCCCTCTTTTCATTAAAAACAAATAAATTACACACTTCACAGGATGGTATGTCATGGCTTTTTTCTCCAGCTTGTCTGTGGAAGATTCAGTAAGTAGTCAGTGAATCAGTGAACTGTTCTCTGTCATATTAAGGGCTTCTCAAAACTCAAAGACAAGCATGGAAACATCTCATCATATCTTTGAGAATTAGTATACAAATGTGTAGCAACAGAATAATAAGCCAGTGATTTTAAAGCAACATTTCAGTCGAAAGTCAATTTTTTTAGGTTATGTAAGGCTAATGTAGCTACCATGTAAGCTTATATCCTGTCCACACCCTTGGGAAATCCTGAACTTTTCCATACTTTTTATTATTACAAACTTTATTGGTCATGTACAGTGTGAGAAATACCCCCTGGTATTCAGAGGGTCCCAATTTGGCTTGCTAATCCAGGGCTAGCTAGCTGCTTACTCACCATAGCAGTGCAAGGGCCTGCGTCAAATCACTCTTCTACAAATCTCTTGAGAAAACTGTTTTTTTCCAAGTTTTTTTCAGATTTACAAATATGTTACAACATAAGTAAAGTTTTTTCAGAGGTATCCCACGTACAGTCACAGTTGCTAGGCTATGAAGGACCACCTGGGTGAACCACTCTGCTACAGCACCACCCTGAGGCAGAACAGTGCTGCATCTCTAGTTAGTTCAAAATACTAAAGAAGCTCGCTGATTGTGAGAGAAGCATGCTAAACAGTCACAGCATAACGTCATAGTAAGTTTTACTTCAGGGACCCTCTAAAGGTTAATTAGGAGGTCCCTGACCACAACCCCCCCCCCAGACCTCTTGTATTTTGCATCTTGGTGATG